TGGAGAAGAAAAGATATAGGGGGGAGATATGGCTGCTGTCTTTATAGGAAGGAGCTTTATCCTTTTTTTTTTTTTGTTTGCTACAGAGCACAGAATTAGGACCAACAAATATAAGTTAAATTGAAGCAAATTTCAGTTCAATATAAGGAAAAATTTTCCAACAGTAAAAACTGTCCAACAATAGCATTGTCCGCCTTTCCAAATTAGTGACAAACCTATTATTGGAAGAGTTTAAGCAGAAGGATGTTATCAAGAGGATTGTGCATCTGGTGGAAGGTTAGACTACATGGATAAGGACATTTCCAACTTTGCCATTTTATGATTCTAAAATCATAAAATTTGTGATTTGCCTCTTTTTCCATTCAATATTTTTCCTTCCCTGTCTCTTGGTTGACTTGGTTACCAAGCTCTTTTTCTTCCTCTATTTCTGTGACGTTTCAATAGAATTCAAGTATACTTTCTCATATTATTTTACGTATTGGATGAAGTTTTATGTTTCCTGTTCTAAATTTAGAAAAATCATTACATTGACACGTTTAAAAATTTTTCTCCAAATGTGTTTGCTGCTCCCTCCAAAATAGCCATAAGGAAATTAAATTGCATGGTCCTTATTAAATTTTTTTACTGTAGGACAATGATTCTTCAACGAAAAAAGTTTATTTACCCCTAATTTATACAGAGAGTATAGCACAGGTGTATTTAACTTAGAGATCAGGTTTCTGATCATAGAATCATAATTTTGAAGCTGAAAGGGAGCTCAGAATTTATTTCATACAATCGCCTCATCTTATTGATGAGGAAAATGAAACCTATAAAGGAGAAATGATTATGTTCCAGTTAACACAGGTAGCAAGTTAGCAGAACTGGCATTTAAATCCCAGGCCTCTGATTCCAAATGCAGAGTTTTTTTTCCATTCTGTCTCCCAAGACTTAAGCTCACAGAATAGCAGTGATTCAAAAGTTTGAAAAAAAAAGCCATCATCTTTGGCAGCAAAGAAAGTATGCCTGAGCAGCAAGGCAACTTGAAACTAGTCAAGAAGAGCCAAAGACCTGATGAGTCCATCTGACATTTTGTTTGTTGACCTCAAGGATGGATGCATCACTGTAGTGATGGCTGTGAAAGTCAAGCCTCTGACTCCAAAAAACCCCAAACCAAACCAAAACAACAACAGAAACCTCATGCCCCCCAGAAAAATAGAGAAGGAACCAAAAAATAAAAAAAAGGAGATAGAAAATTTAAGCAAGAAGAAAAATAGGAAATCAGAGAGGAAAGAGTGAGCCAAATACCAGAAGCCCTACACAGCAGAAGCCTGGGCAAAGATTAGAAATGGGGATTGAGGCAGCAGGCACTCTGACAGCAGAGGAGAGAAGAAGCTGTGAGATATAATTTTTTTTTTTAAAGCTAAAACAGCTTGGCAGTATATGTATGGGCGACTACCTGAATACACCTAAGTAATCTCTAAGGATATCACTGTGTCACACTAAAGGGCAACTCTGCAGCATCTGGGGATGGAGGCTTTTAGTGAAGGGCACTCAAATCTTATTCTGTTCAATAGTTTCAGAGAACATTATTCCATTCTGGTGGTACCTCGCTGAAGTCATGCCAAACAGTCTAGTACAATGATTTCCAAGGGTTCAAGGGCATTCACTGAAATGCAGAAACAGACTAGACTAAAATAGATTATATTCCAGTAGCTGGTAAAAAATGTATGTATTCAAAATATGACATTGAAGCATCTACAAACAGAAGATCTGACTCGTGTTAATTACTGGCAGCCATGTAACTCGAATCTAGTGAAAGGTAAAGTGTAGAAGGTTAAGAAAGTTTTTCTAAAACTTAAAAGAGAAAATGGAGATCTATATGCGGCTTCAAAAGGGCAAGTATTAAAAAAAAATTAATGAATCAGTACAATATTGCTTCATTTATACTATGACATCATAGAATAGTAGATTTAGAACTGAAATGGAACCTTGGAGAACACTGGATCCAATCCTTCTCATTTTATGGATAAGGAAACTGAGGAGGCTGAGACCATTTAAGTGACTTGCCCAGGGTCACAGAGTGTCTAAGGTAGGATTTGAATTTGGATCTTACTGACTGCAAGCCCAACACTCCAGTGTTCCATTAAACCATCTGACTGCCTCTTACAAGAATTCTTGGTCAAATTCATTACTTGTTCTGCTGAGAATTCCTGGGCAGGAAAGCAACCTAAGTTAGAGTACCTAGACCAGATTTCATTTGCATTGTTCTAGCAAAAGATCTGAGGGTAACTCTATGGACAGCCCCATCCAAACTGAGAAAGTAAAAGACAGCAATAAGTAAATGTAGGACTGAGCCATGTATATTTTTGGAAGGCTGGTTTTGCCACTTCAAATTGAGATGGCACTGGAAAGCAATCAACCAATCCCCAAACTTCAGGATGTTGTGGCTTTTAAAAAGAACTCATTTATAAACAAAGTTTATCTCTGAACACTTGTATAATGCTGGTGAAACTGGTCTCATCTGGTAATGTTTCTCCCATTACAAGTACTCCTCCTGAGTTTAACAAATCAAGTGCGAACAAATCAGCTGTTCTGTATGCAACAGATGTTCCTAAATTGATTAGAAAGTTTCAGTGTCCTAGAAGCTTTTAAAGTTGCACATGTTTACTTCTTGCTCTTATAGAGCAAGCCAATGCATAGATGAACCAAGATTTCTTTTCTTCTTCTCCTCTTCCTCCTTCTTCAGAGTTTTCTTTTTTTCTTTCATCTTTGGAAGTGACTAGTTCATGATCATTTCAGGCAGATGTGACCCAAGGGCGCGCCACTTTCTATTAAGTTCGTCTGTTGAAGGCAGGATTAATGACTTGGTCATTAATAGCAAGGCAGCTAGACTGCTCCGCCTGCAGTCAGAAAGACTCATTTTCCTGAGTTCAAATCTGACCTCAGACCTTACTAGCTGAGTGATCCTGAGCAAATCACTCAACCCTGTTTGCCTCAGTTTTCCTCATCGGTAAAATGAGCTGGAGAAGGAAATGGCAAACCACTCTGGTATCTTTGTCAAGAAAACCCCAAATGGAGTCATGGAGAGTCAGACATGACTGAACAACAACAAATTAACTGCGGGAGGTGGTGTGGTAGAGAGAAAGATTGGCTCTAGTCTCAGAGTCACTGGGTTCAAATCCTGCTTCTGATGCTACTACTTGTGTGATTTTAGAAAGTCCCTGAATCTCCCTAAGTCTCAGTTGCCTCACATAAACAATGAGGGATTCTCATCAATGACCTCTGAGGTGTCTTCCAGCTCTGAAATGATGGTTATATTTTTGCTATCTTCCCATCTCCCAGTGTTACTGAGCTTCTTGAAAGCCGGGATTGTTTTTGCTTTCTTTGTCTCCCCGGCACCTAGCAAGCCCTTAGTAAATTCTTGTTGACTGACTGACTGAGTGTTTCTACTTGTGGCCCAGAGTGTTATATGAAATGTCTTTACAGAAATCAGTTCTTTAGGAAACTGATTTATTACATAAACACTATTCAAAAATTTTAATCTCATTATAGCATTTAAGATATTATTTCTGATGTTTATGCCTGGAGTTATGTTAAAAATAGAACATTAAGGAAAGCTGGTGTAAATTGAGATCTGGTGTTATGCACGGAGAAGTACAATAAACAATATATAAGTTTGGAACTATATTCTCCTTAAGAGTCTTAGTACAAATTCTTGAAATGGTGAGTCATATTCCTTCAGAATCTGTCAGCAAAATCAACACAAACGAGGTATAAGGATGGCATAAACTGATAAGAAGAGGCCTATGGTCAACAATGTTGGTGATGCAGAAATCATAATGTCTTATATGTTGCCACTAAGCTGAAGGACATTGATAACAACATCAGAGGAGAAGCTTTTCTGCAGAGAGAGAAAAGATTGCTTGGGGAAAGCTGCTTCAGCCTGTGAGCCTGTCATAAAGGCAGAAGAACCTTGAGAAGCAGTGTAGCAGTTAGAACAAGAAACTAGGAGTCAGAAGACCTAGATTCACCTTCTGGCCTTATTTACTAGCTTTGTACTTTTGGACAGGTCATTCAACTGCAATAATTCTAACTTTCAAAATCTGACAAATGGAAATAGCAATACTTTTCCTGTCTTCTTCACAGACTCAAATGAAATAATGTATACAAAATTGTGTGGTAATTGCAAAAATCTATTAAAATTATCATGCATTATGGATACAAGACCAAATCCTTCTTTCTGTTATTAAGTTTAATGTAATTCTTCCCACAGGCTATTTCAATGTAGGTCTGTTTTTATTTTTTTTTTTTGTTTATACTGTACTTAAATGGAAATTCCAGCAATGTATTAATTGAAATAATATTCTACTACAACATAACAATTTATAAGCTTCATGGGCTTATAGTAACAGAGTGATACCATGGTACATGGTGCAGTGTAGAGAATAATGGCTTAAAGTCAAAAGACCCAAGTTCAAATCCTGTCTCTGTCACACACTAGCTGTGTTACCCTGGGCAAATCAATTCATCCCACTTTTCTTATCTTTAAGATGAGGGGAGAGGACTCAATGGCTTCTAACATCCATTTCAGTTCTAAATTTATGACCTTATGACCTTCTTGGACCTTGGTTTTCTCATCTGTAAAATGAGGGGGTTGGTCCATAAAAGGATTTGTTCTGTGAAGTTTAGATTCAGTCAAAGGGCTGCACCTGAGGACCTAGAGGGCCACATGTGGCCTCAAAGCCACAGGTTTCCTACCCCTAGGTTAGACAGATCACCTTCAAGCTCTAAATCATTGATCTTGTTTGCTACCAGGATTCTGTGAATCTCTCTTTTTCAGAAGTCCATTCTCTTCTTTCTCTCTCACTCTTAGCCACTTTTGGTCCATTATGTAAAGATGGATAAGTTTTAAAACCACACCATCCATAACCAATCACAAAAATGACACAGAAATGGCAGCATAAAACCTATATCACAGAGATGCGAGTCTCTGAAAGGGCCTCAGGTTTCTGAGATACATGCACATGGCCAAGAAATACAATAAGAAGGGGCTGAAGAAGATGCAAGTCAACAACACTGAAGCCATCATGGTCCAAGTAGAGACCATCAAGTCCCTGAGCACCAAGGCCTCCAAGGTCAAATTCCTTAGGCCCAAGATCTCCGAGGTCAATGTCTGGCATACCAGCCCCAAGATGTTACCAAGTGTCTAGGATTGGTACCAAACGTCCGGACCCTAGAATCATGAAACCCAGTTCTAAGGTCAACAGAACCACTGACTGAAGGCTGCCAAGCCCACTGACCCCAAGGTCACAAAGTCTGACAACCAAGGTCACAAGTCTGATCCTAAGGCCACCAAGTCTGATTCTAAGGTCATGAAGCTCAGATATTCCAAGGCTGCTAAGCCTACTGACCCCAAGCCTGCCGAGTCCATCAGCCCTAAAGGTGCCAAACCCAAAGATGCTGGGGCTAAAGCTACCAGTTCCACGTCTTTAAAATAGATGCTTCAGGACACAACTACTTGTTTAAACCTAAACCACAATTTTTTTCTCAGTCAGGGTATGATTATTCACTATTTTCTACAAATAAAGGAAATGGTGAGTCATTAAAAAAAAAAGAAGTCCATTATCTCTAGAAATCAACAAAATGGCCAGGAAATAAGTCACAGTCACAAGAAGATAACTTTAGAACTCTGGGAACTTTTGGTTATCTTATCATCAAGTGGATTCATGTTCTTGACATTCTTCAATAGAAATCATTCTCATTGTAACCCCATTGATTAAAAAAAACAAATGAAAATACAGCTTTTCTCTTTGAGTGCATAAATGTTAACTCACCAGGTTTCTGGATCCTGGAAGTCCTGGCTGGCCTGGAGGGCCAGGTGGGCCTGGAAGTGCCACAGCTGAAATAAAACAGAAAGTTTATATTACATTTCTCTCTCTCTCTCTCTCTCTCTCTCTCTCTCTCTCTCTCTCTCTCTTTCTCTCTCTTTTTAAATGTCAGGGGTCTCATGGAATTGAAATTTGTCACATGTTCTAACTAAGCATGCTCCATAAGATACAAATATCTCATCAACATTCTGCCAGTTCTTTCCCCATCAACTCCTTGGAGGGAAACAAGAACAGTACAAAGAAAAATATCTTAATGGATCATCCCAAATTAAATTGCAAACATTCAGGAAAGATTATTTTCTGGATAATTGTCAATTTGGACAATTGTCAAAAAAGACTTTGAGAAGAACAACTTGTCAGTACTATTAAGACTTTCTTCTATGACATGTTGATAGGTCTGGTAAAAATGACTTGAGGCCTTCATCTGAAAGAACTGGGAATGTGTAGTCTGAAGAAAAGAACACCGTCAAGGAGAGTGACTACTGTCTTTGAATTTCTAAAGGGTTGTTACATGGAAGAAGGATTAAAGTCAGCAAGCATTCATTAAGAGCTTACTATGGGCCAGGCATGGGACTAAACACCAGAGACACAAAGATACAAAGAAAAGCAAAAACACAGTTCCTGCCCTCAAGGAGCTCACATTCTAATGGAAGGGAACACATGGGAACAACTATGTACCTACAAGGTATACAAAGGGGAAGTGATTCTGTTTGCCTCCTCCTCTGATTGGTGAGTTGTTCCTCAAAACCTCCATTTGAGTAAGTGCCTTGCCCTGTGTTTACTGCTAACCTGGCTCAGAACCTGACTCTGCAGAATACGTCTCCACCTTGTTCACAAACTTCCTTTCCTTGTGTTTCTCTATTTGAATGTAAGCCCCTGGAGAATAGGGACCATCTTTTTTATTTTTATTTATTTTTTTTTGGTGAAGCAGTTGGGGTTCAGTGACTTGCCCAGGGTCACACAGCTAGTAAGTGTCATGTGTCTAAGGCCAGATTTGAACTCAGGTCTCCTGACTACAAGGCTGAAGCTCTATCTACTGCACCACCTAGCTGCCCCTGGGACCATCTTTTTTGCTTGTGTTGTATTCTTAGTGCTTAGCACAGTGCCTGGAACATAGTAAGTGCTTAATAAATGCTCTCTTTCTGTCTCAGTCTCTCTCTCTGTCTCTCTATTTCTGTCTCTGTCTATTCTCTGTATTCCTCTCTGTCTCCATCTGTCTATCCATCCAGAAGGCAGAACAAGAACCAGAAGATAGAAACTTCAGGGGCAGAGACAGAACATAAGAAAAAAAATTCTTGCAGCTAGAGCTAGTAAAAACAAAAAACAAAAACAAAAACAAAAGAAGAACAGTTTGCCTTGGGAGGCAAAGAGTTCCCTGTCACTAGTAGTTTTCAAGTAGAGGCTGTAGGACAAGTTATTGGGGATATGTACATGTCACATAGCCATATAATATAAATACAAAGTGAGTTAGGAGAGAGAGTCAATAGCAGCTGTGGGGATCAGGAAAGGCTTGATGTATAAGGTGTCATTTAAACTGAATTCTGAAGGAGGCAAAGGGTTCTAAGAGTCAGAGGTGAAGATGGAATTCACTCCAGGCATGCAGGACACATAGTGTGAAAGCATGGAGATAGGAGAGGCTATGTCACATGTGATTAACAGCCAGAAGTCTGGCTGGCTAGGGATGATGTAGAGGAGATTCTGAGCTCCTATTGGAATGGCCCATACCATGACTACTTCTCTTTCCTTTTCATCTATCATTCTCTTCCAGAAACACATTGAAAAGGCCTGCAGTCTCCTCTCTGTTATTAATGAGGCATCTACAGAGCAAGGAAAGCTGGCAGCTGAAAGGAAGAAGTGTGGCTATCATGGAAAGGCTGTCAGATTGCTTCCTTTATCCTTCTTCTCTGGCTCCTGGCTTCTGTTCCTTTGTGGAAAAAAATGTGAGATAGGGTTTGGGACATCAAAAGCTCCTAGTTTGATTAGTTAGGGAGACAGACAGAGAACCTCCAACTGAGAGGACATACCAGGATGTCAGTAGTTGCAACACAGGTAAGGAAAACTCACATTTAGTGCAAATGCCATTTTTTAAAAGGTGTGGTTTGTTTGCAAATTTTTTTTATAAACAAGCACTGGTCTCTTGGCAGGAACTTTTTTGTACATATTTTCCTAGGCTAATACTGCCTGGGCCTAATACTGAAGACTCTCACGGATATGAAAAGGGGAACTGGGTGTTGAGGAAGAGAAGGGGAAGACTGTAAACATATCCTGCTGGCACTCTGTATTTTGCCTGGTGTTTGAGTTCATGGAAAAATAGTACTATAAACAAAGCCCATCACATGAACTCATCTTTTTCTCAAGGAGCTATGGTGCAATCTGCTGGGATAGTTTCTGTCAAGGGCACCACCATCCTGCTAGGCCCCCAGATTCCCAATGTCAATGTGAATTGGACTTGCCACTCTCCCTTCACCTCACATATCCAACCAGCTACCAAATATTGTTTCTATCTCCACAACATCCCTTGCATCTGGCGCTTTCTCTTCACTCATTCAGTCACCACATTAATTCAGGTTCTCACCTAGACTATTATGGCAATCTTCTAATTGGCCTCTCAAACTTCAAATCTTTCTTTGCTCCAATCTCCGCCCAATTGCTAAAGTGATTTCCCTAAAATATAGGTCACTGCCCTGTTCAATAAACTCCAGAAGAGCTTGAGTATCTCCAGGATCATATATTCTCTAATGCATTTGGCTTTTAAAGCCCTTCACAATGTGACCTCAACCTATTTTTCCAACTTTGTCATATAGATCTTTCCCCTTCTTAAACTCTATAGTCCAGCCAGACTTCTTTTTCCTCACAAGTGACATACCCTCTCTGATTTCCATACTTTCTCACTAGCTTTCCTCCTCCATGGCTGGAGTGCATCCCATCCTCACCTCTGACTCTTAGAATCCTTCACCTCAAGCCTTTCCTGACCCTCCCAGCTGTTTGTGCTCTTCTCTCCGAACTCATTTTGAATTTATTTTATATATTTATGTGATCCTGGACAAGTCACCTAGGCCTCCCTCATCCTTAGTTTTCCTACTGGCAAAAAAAGAAAAGAGCACCTGTCTCACAGGATACTTGTGAGGATCAAATGAGATAACATATGTAAAGCACTTTGAAAACATTAACATGCTATGTAAATGCTAGTTATAATTATTATTTTAATATATGTATATGTTATCTCCCCCAATAGATATAAGCTCCTTGAGGGCAGGGACTGTTTAATTTTTGTCTTTTATCCCCAGCACCTAGCACAGTGCATGACATATAGTAGGCTCTTATTGTTTTGATTTGGTTTTGGAAGCAATTGGGGTTAAGTGACTTATCCAGGGTCACACAGCTAGTAAGTGTCTGAGGTCAGATTTGAACTTGGGTCCTTCTGACTCCCGGCCTGGCACTCTATCCACTGCGCCATCTACCTGCCCATAATAGACTCTTAATAAATGATTGGCTGATTGACATTAGAAATTGTAAAAGCAATCTGTTCTTTAAAGTCACTTCTAACTCTAAGATTCCTTTAGCCTATGAAGTTGTGGAAGTCTTCATTGAGTACCTACTCTGTGCTGTGGGGATACACAAGGAAATATAACAAACAACCTGTACTTTGTGAGAAACTAATAGGAGAGCCTGAGTAATGTAGTGAATAGAGAGCTGGCCTGGGAGTCATAAAGTACACAGATTCAAATCATTCCTGATACATACTGTGTGACTCTAAGCAAGTTCTTCCAGTGCCCCCCCCCCCCAGGCAACACTCTAAAGCAGAGATGGTGCCCTTCTTCACCGGTAGAAATCTTCCTTACTGGGAATAATTGATACCAAAGAAATCATAGGTCCAGTTTCCCTCCCCCCACAAAAAAATTGTCTGATTTGTTGAAAAAAGTCATAAGTACTTGAAACAATTGGATAATAAGTTAATGTATAATAAATTAAATTACGTGGAAATAGACAAATTCAACAGGAATTTGAAAAAAGAAGATAAATAAACATTATTTTTACATAGTACTTTACAAAAAAAGGCTTTTCTCAAAATAGACAAGTGAGCTGAGTAGTATATTGTTATGCTGTTTATAAAGTCCTAGTGCAAACTGCACTTGAGCTTTGAGTTCTGAGCCACAGTTTGTTAAAGAGGAAGTAACTGGGTCATCCTTGTGGTTTGCTTAATGGTTGATATTACTTTTGTTTATTATTTTCATTTTCATTTTTATTTCTATACCTTAAAGAAGAGTATTTAGACTCAAAGATAGAAGTCTAGGACATCTATAAATTGCTAAAAAAAAAAAAAGGAAGTTGAGAGTGTGACCCACATTTACTGATGAGTGTATGTATGTATGTATGTTTATATGTATGTATGTATATATGCATGTATGTATGTGTATTGTGTGTATACGCAAATGTCTGGAGAGAAAAAATGGTGTTTAAATCATCAGGCAGAAGGTTATGTGTTGTCAATTGATCCATGTTCCACTGATGTTTTTCACTCTAAACCAACTCTAAGTTGAAGATTAATTGAAATAGCCAGAGAAGATGTAGTTTTTATTGCCAATATCTGCATAAAAATATGAAATTATTCTAAGCTCTGTGTATATGAATCCTTTGTTCATAACAATATGACTGTTTGTGATAGAATGGACTATTTAATCCACCTGTGACTATAAGGGTGACATTAACAAAGATAACACAGGCAGAACATCCATTAAATACCACAAGCAATTATTAAATACCTATTATGTGCCAGTCATTGGTGATACAAAGACCAAATGAACCATAAATGAAGTGATTACTTTTACTAACCTGATCCCAATATTGCTGGAGGTCCTGGTGGCCCTGGAGGTCCTGGAGGTCCTGGGGGTCCATGAGCTCCATAGCCAGGAGGCCCAGGCAAACCTGGGGCCCCAGGGGGGCCTCTGGGTCCAATGACAGAATCACCTTTCTGGCCCTAGTACAGCAAACCCACAGTGACGGAGGAAAGGACACAATTAATCACCTTGATATTTTGATTTCTGAGTAACACATCTTTTAAGGAAACTGTTTCGAATTTCTCACTTGAAAACTTAAATTTCCCACAAGAAACATGGTAATCAAACATTCACTAATGACTTCATGAATTTCTTTTTTCCTCCACAATGACAGTGGTCAAATACCATCCCAGGCACCTGTATTACTTAGTGCTAATATGACTGTCCAGAGAGTCTGAAGAGATGGTAACAGGAGGTATAGCACATGTTAGCAAAGAAATCCAATTAAATTGTTATGTTTGCAAGAGAGCTTGTCTTGTGCAATGCACATGCTCAGATCCCCTAATATGGAGGCTCCCTACTTCCTGGTGTTCCCCCTAAGACATGGGAGAGGGAAACAGGCCAGATTGAAACGGTTCCTCTCTTTCTTGGGCACTCCTTTCTGTTACATCCAGGGAGTGAAGATCCCAGTTTACTCTCGGATGTCACTGTGAACTGAACTAGGAGTCACTTAATCCCAATTGCCTCCAAAAACAAAACCAAACAAAACAAAACAAAAAGAGGGATATGTATGTATAAAGGATTGCCCTTTCCTCACTTTTACCCTGGTTCTGAGAAATGGGCTGGGTCTTTGTTTTTTTTGGTTTGTCCTTCTCAGTTTTAGATGCTGGAGATAAACCCCACCAGACTGAGGAGTTCAAGCTCTGATGACCCTGAAGCCAGAATTGCAGGCAAGGTACCACCTTGCCACAGACAGATGGGCCAGCAGAGAAGCCCCTAGAAGTCAGGGTGCCTGGGACTGGAGCCCAAGTTGGTTTTGGGACTTGGAACTGGGACTATGATTTATAGGAACTGAGCTTTGCTATTTGTATATTTGTTATTATGGCTTGTGAAGTAAATATTCCTTTGTAAAAATTAATCTAACAGTTAGTGGCTAAATGAAACCAGGGTACAAGGGAACACCCCAGCCCTTGGGAAATGTCCACTGGTAGGGGCTGAAGTGATTTGCAGAGAGCCTCAACACTCTCAGTCCCCCTAAAGGGTACCAGAGAACCAGGAGGAGGGGTGAAATGTAACACACTTGGCTTCAGGGCAGTGGGGGCCAGAGCGGTCAGTGTTACATGTTGCAGAAGACATGGTAGAATAAAAAAAATAGGAACCGAAAGCAATACATACACACTGACTCTAACTTGGTAAGTGAAAGCAAGAACACTTGACAAGAACTGAGACTCATGTTCAATAGCTAGGTTTTTTTTGTCTACCCTTGTGATTTTGTTAGTATAAGCAATGCCAGACAAAGAAATTTTCTCTACCAAAGCCACTGGTTTGTGATTTAGAGCTTTGGAAGTTTGCTTGAATCATTGGAAGGTTAAGTGATATTGCCAAGGTCTCCCAGGTAGGACAAGTCAGAGGTAGGACTTTTCCCAAGCCTTCTGATTTGGAGGTCAGCTTTCAATCCAGTAGGCCACATTATTTTGCTCCACTGTTTCTGCATTATTAAATGAACATTCATAGCTTTTGTTTCATTTAACAATGGGGAAATAATGGAAGTATTTGGTTTTATATACAATTGCAATCACTTTTGCATATTATTTCCCTGAATTGTTTTAATTTTTTTGTGTATGTTTTCTTTTGTTCTTGTTCATATCTATGAGTGCTTGTCACTTGTCACTGGAAGTTAAAACAATTAATTAATTAAAAAAAAAGAAACTATAGCACTTTCTTAACCCCATCAGAGAATGATGGATAATTTTTTTTTAAACTTTAAAGTTCTCTGCTGTGCAATAGAAGCTCTTGATTTAAGAGTCTCTTTAAAAACAATTGGCTTAAGAAGAGAGAATCATATCTCACTGTAGGGCTAAACAAAAGAAGAAATATTTGTGTTCTTTAGCTTTTGATTCTCACCCAGGAAGAAGCATTTCTCTTATGAAACTGTTCAAAAATGAAGTTTGGGGAAAACTTTCTCTAGGTAATTAATGGACCAGTTAGGAACCTGAAGCACCCACAACAGTAAACAATTATGGATACTTAACCTGACAGTGAAGAGAGGAATGAGTCAGCTTGCCACTCCCCCCCCCAACTTCTTTTCACTCTCAGTGGAATCAAAAGCAGCTATTGTGAGAAACCATCCCAGTTACAAGCCTGTTTGCCTATTTATAAAAGAGGTAATAATTTATCTGTCAAATTACATGAGTTGCAGTCTCCTATGAACATTTTATTTACTTATCAGCTATATTAGGTGTCAAAAATAATGACACAAAATGAGAATGTGTAGCAATGCATCTATTTAATGATATATTCTTCAATCTTTACTAAATTCAAAAAGGAACAGGGACAGAATTTTGAAGACTACTGGAAATAAGTACATCCTCTTCAATCTCTAATTAGATAATGCATACAAATACAATGAAATTGTGGAAAGATCTTTGCTTCTATCACTGTAAGGACCTCTTGGGGTTGAAAATTCCAGGTAGATACAGATTCTAATCCATCTTTGACTTCATAGATAAATCCTAGGAAGTTGCCAGAGGCACATCGAGGTTAAATAACTTGCCTAGGGTCTTGTATCCAGTAAATGTCTGAGGCATGATTTGAACCCAGGTCTTTCTGACTCCAAGCCCAAAACTCTATCCATTGTGCCACATTACCTCAATAGATGATGGATAATTATGTAAAATTATTTTATACAATTTTAAAAGACTAGTTATGCTGGTCAGTTCTCCAGATACCAAGGCCTGAAAAGACTTGAAGAGTGAAGATGCTTATATCACCTATTAGAGGAGCACAGTCACGAAGTCTTGAGTTCAAGACCTACTCCGGCCCCACATTGGCTAAGTAACCCTTGGCAAGTCATCGGACATCTCAGAGCTCTAAGCAATAGTCCAAGGCTACAAGCTTCAGAAAAGGCACTGACCTGTACTGACAGGAGCTTCCTCACCTAGGAGTTTGTTAGACCAATAAAATCACAAGTCAAGTCTCTATCCCCTATACTGCCTATGATTTCTTAAGATATTACATGAGAATCACCAAAATCCATATTATATAATTTACAAGAAATTGCAGTTTTATATGGGGCAACCAACTATCAATGAATTCTATGAGATGCAACTCCAACAAGGGGATTGTTAACCTCAGAAGTTACATGTTTTCATTATGTTAACCATACATGAGCTATCTTAAGATGGCTAAAAGGAGGTAGTATATTTAATTGGCCAGCTAGGGAAGTTCAACAAGCAAGTGATTTTTTTGCTGCCAGGAATCAGTATGGCAACACAAAAGGAAAGGCACAGTTGGATAATGTTAAATTCATTTCACACATCTATACTAAATGTTTGGTCCTCATAAACCCATCTCTCAACTAGCTGGAAATGTGGAATAATTTCACGTTTCAGATTTGGGTTGGATTAGATGACTTCTGAAATAATTTTCGGCTCTAAAATTCCATCAGCTCTCAGTAGAGATCTTGATTACTCCATAGAACTCCTAGGCCCTGAACAAACTCTGTGCATCTCCCTAGTAAAGGGCTATTCTCATTGATATCTGATATTGCTTGTCTGGCAGCATGTTCAGTGACAGGTTTAATAAAGAACCCATTTTAAGGCAATTGTCAAGAAATACTTCTGGCTGGAGGTCCACGTAATTGTAGTTAGACCAGGAAACTGGGCATCACCTCCATCTCGCCTTTGAATTTGTGCAGAAGACTGATGGGTCAAATGGCTAGGCCCAGGTGAAGTAAAGAAGGCATGGGCTATTGCTAGCCTGAAATCTTATTTAAGAGTTGAGTTTTCTACTGAAGAATTCAGCCTGGACCTACAGGGTGCCATTTTTCTCAGTTAATTGCTGGCAGTTAGTTGCTATTAATTACATTTAATTGTTGGCAGGTCATACTGGCAAGATGGAAATTTTCTCATAAGGTTTTCTGCCTGAAAGGCATGTTAAGAGGCCATAATGTTCTCTAAGTGTGCAAGGACTGTTCTTTTAGTCCAAATTGTAGCATATTGAAATCACTTGAGATGCTAGCATTTAATTGGGGTTTTGAGAAACAGTCCCACAACTGAGGCCCACTTAGAAGCAGTAGAGATGGAAGCAACAGGCCATTTATCCAGGCAGAGTCTCAGGAGGAAGGGAAGTTGACTACTAGAAATCCTCTACAATGTAGATAGAGATCACAGAGGGTTGTCAATGAGCCGAGTTATTTCTCAATAGCAAGGTAAGTGAAGTGAGAAGTGATAGGAAGACAACTAAACTGTGGAAAAGATCCAAGAGGGGGAAACCAAAAAGCCAGTTAGGGTCTAGCAGAGAGGGAGTTGCCTTGAAGGGAACAATAATAATAATAATAATTATAGCTAATATGTATATAGTGCTTTAAAGTTTGTAAATCACTTTACATGTGTTAGCTCATTTTTTTTTTTTGTTCATGTAGTGCAAAGAAATCAGAGAGACAGATGGAGATGGATATTCCTTGGCAGGTTCAGCTGCCTCTTAACAACCCTAGGCAGCTCTTGGATCCTGTCTGCTTGGTGTTTAAAGGGACATGAGCCTTAGTACCTGGCTGGATTTTGAAGACTCTGCCCTAGGGCTGAGCTGATCTGATTAGTGAGTAAGTATAGCTCACTCTACCTAGCCAGCCCCAGAACAGACCATGTTTCACATCCCAATCCATTCCAGCCATTTTCCTGCTATCTACTCTCTACCCTTTTGGTATCGTGGAAAGAGCCCTGGCTTTGAAGTCAGAGTAGCTGAGTTTCCCTATTAATCGTGCCTCTGACACTTATTGCCCTTGTGATCCTGGGCAAGTTAACCTCCTTAAGGTATAATTTCCTCATCTGTAAAATAAGGACTATATGGCCTTGGAGGTCCTTTCCAACTCTAGCTGTAGGATTTTATGATCAATCTCCCACTCTGAGGACAGTAAGAAAATCAGTAATAACATTGCATAAGGAAAGAGCATGTCGATCAACTACCCTATGTCTCCACTTACTATTCTTGTGACTTTCCAGACCAAAGCACCTTTCTTTGGCCGTTACTCCTTATATATGTTTTCTCCCTCTTTTAGAGTATAAATTCCTTGAGGGTAGGAACTACTTTGCTTTTCTGTTCGCACCCCTACATTTAATCCAGTGTCTGGCATATAGTAAGCACTTATTAAATGAGTTTCATTCACTCATTCACTCACTCCTGGCAGCTGCTGTAGCAGTAATTGGGCATGGCACTGATTTGGGACTTAGCATATACTACCTAGTATTGTTATTTCCTTTATCTACGAGTCCTGTGTCTCCAGTTGGAATGTAAACTCATTGTGGACAGAGACCCATCTTATGTATCTTTTCCAGAAAGTAGCAGTCGTATCTTGTATGTTGCAGATGTTCAAATGAATGTTTGATGACCATTATTACATCTTGAATTGTAAGTAACTGCAGAAGTCCCTAAGCTATGTGAATCATTTTAAATTATATGTATGAATTTTGTGAATACTTTTACAATGATAATGTTGACATTTTGAAACTAAAAAGGCAAACCACTAACTTGATTGTATTATGTCTTCCCAAACATATTTTTTGCTGGATTTGGCAGCGTGGACCCAGTATTTGGAAAGTGATTGCTCCTTTTTAATTTCCCTAATTGTCTAGGCACCACTCAACTCCTCTATTAAAATAAATCATAGAATTTCAGCTCTTAAAGGGACCTTAGAGACCATCTAGTTCCAACCTGTACGCAAGCAAGTATCTCCTATATATAATACTTAACAAGATATCATCCATTCTCTATTTGGTGACCAACTTGTGGGACCATGCTGGGGGACACACAGACAAGGTAAACCGCCATTTTAAGGAGAGTAGGAGGAAAGGATTCAACAACTTTTTAAATGTTAGCATATATTATGATATTTATTTGTTGTTCCTTTTAAAATGGGAAGGGCTAGCAACATTTTCAACAGTTTGGATCCTGTTCCATTGCCATCCACAAATCAACCTGTATTTGTTGAATTCTAATTATGCTCAGCACTGTGTTAGGTCATCTCTTGTTTTTGCTACATAATTGGCCCACTTCCTGTTAAGACATATTGTGGAATGTATTTTTTAGTCTGCTTCTTGTGAAATAAGTCATTACTGGCAATATGCTACAGTCAATCTTCTTATATTCACCATGCATCTTTTCATTGTTCTTTGTGTCATCTTTAGTTAGGGTTCTTCTGAAACCAATGTATTACGTGATTTATGGCTATGTGGCATCATTAAGGATAATCCTGATATTCAAAATATAGACTTTTTGTTAGAGAGCACCTTGAAATACTGAAAGTCTGTGCAACTTTCTTGATGTGATCCAGCCCCCTCTTTTCCTATTCAATTCTGGACCCGTTTTATTCTCTTTTTGCAATGTTTGTCTAATTCATAATGGGGAATGATAGATTCACCCATTGGGATATCTATCTGTTCAGTTGCATCTCATTATCTGGGCAATAAGCATTTGTTACCTACTTTTGAATGTGGATTAATGCTGTTAGTAACAGTAAATTTGTGTATTTTGCCTGTATCTACAGATATTGCCACCGTTCCCTTCTAGAGCAAGTGAATGACATTTTAAAAGCATTACGTGACGGTTAATCTTTTATAGGTTTCCCACAGTCAGAATTTTGCTTTACACTCTATGAATCTGAAGGAGGCTTTCTGATGGCCCAGAAAATAGCAATAAGATAGTGTTGAAACTACCTAGCAAGCCTAGGTGACTAAAGGGTGGGATAAGGTTAGAGAGAATGGTGAGGCCTAATAAATCTCATAGTAAGTAATAAAAAAGAGGAAGCCTATGAGTTTTGGTCTAGACTCTGCTGTCTAGTTTCTGTTTGACACAGTTATTTAGTCTAGTTCCTTTTGGAAAAATGATTCTTGTTTTGTATCTAGAAGTTCTATTTAACTAGAAATTCTATCATTATGGAATAACTACTTACGTGGTATTGAGCCCTCCACCCCCACTTTTTCTGCAACTAGTCTGACATTATATTTGAATTTTTTTCATCCTAACTTACTTCCTTTCAGTTAAAGTGTTTTGCTTTTTTTATTATATAGAATTCTGATTTGGGGGCTCATTGATTTTCCCCAAAACCAACAATCCTAAACCACTAGCTCTTTTTTTCAAACCACCATTATTCTCAGGGTCATGGCTGTAATGTTGGGAATCATGAGACACCACAATTTCAGAAGAAGAAAAATTTCAGAGGACACAAAAGGGAATGGAGAAATGCATAGTGGGTATAAATGACCCACAGCACATTACCAGGAGGTGGCTTGTATGCTGGAAGTGAGCTAAAACATATTATTGAAGACATGTGTGACCAGAAGAGGAGGTAAACTGGTTATGTGATGAAACTGATGGATAGAAAACACTGCACTAGGTCCACAAAATAGTGAAAAGAGCATTGGATTTAGAGTTAGAAGATCTAGGTTCAAAAGCTGACTCTGCAAGTTGTTATCCGTATGATTTTGGACAAGTCATATAGGCTGTTTTGTGCTGTTCAGTTGTTTTACAGTCATGTCTGAATCTTTGTAACTGCATTTGGGGTTTTCTTGGCAAAGATACTAGAGTGGTTTGCCTTTTCTTTTTCCAGCTCATTTTACAGATGAGGAAACTGAGGCAAAAAGGGTTAAGTGACTTGCTCAGGGTCACACAGCTAATAAAGTACCTGAGAGCTGGATTTGAACTCAAGAAGAGTTTAAGTCATGTAACCATCTATAAAATGAGGGGACAATCTCTAAGATCCCTTCTAGTTCTAAATTTATTATCCTATAATTCTATGATATTAAGAGAACTGTAGTGAAGTTTCTAGGGCATTAGGTAAATCCTCTATGAAAGATTTACAGATAGACAAGGACACAGAGTAAAAAAGCGTGGACTGTTATCTGCTTAGATGGAGAAAATATTTCACACTAAAGAGATCATGAATCTATTGAGGTATTTGCTTAATTTCTAATTATTACTAATATAATATGTCATTTCCAATGAGAAAATTGACTTCATCACGGGAATATGATCTTCAAGGTATATTACTTACCATTTGTCCAGGACTTCCTGGCAGTCCGGGGGGCCCGGGCATAAAAAATCCACCATTGGAGTCTCCTTTTTCACCTTTGATCCCTTTGTTTCCAGACTCACCCTCAAAGAAAACACCATTGAGAAATTTAAGGATAAAGAACAAAATGAGCCATATCTCATAAGCCCAGTGACCCTTAAGTAATGGTGGTTAGGCAGAGAGCAAATATTAAGTGAAGAAATAAGTACCTTCATTCTATCCATAAAGTGTTTCAAGTATGTAACAGGAATTGGGGGACCTGAAAAGAAAAACATCAAAAAATGACAATTTCTATTTTAGAAATACTAAAAAAAATCTTGTAGTAGGTAACATTTTAATTTTTTTTAGTTTGTGTACCACTAGAATGTAGTATCAGCCTCAACATTAAGGGTTAATAGTGGTTGCAATCTCAGCCCTAGCTCAGTTGCATTTCTAAAAAAAATGAGAATAAAATAACATAGTCTAGGATAACACTTAAAATACCTGGTGGTCCTGGTTCGCCTTCATCTCCTTTTTCACCCTTTGGGCCTGGTTTCCCAGGTAGGCCCCAAGAGCCTTTTTCTCCTTTAACACCTGACATTTAAAAACATACAGAAAATAACTTTAATTCTCTGTGAAATAGTCACAGAATATGGTGGAGTTTTCAAAAAGGGCATCATAAGCAGGTGCCCATTGATTGAGATCTGGCTAAAAAATTTCATTGCATGAATGTCACGGATTATTACTCTGACATTAGAAATAACAAATATGAAGAGTTCAGAGGCTAAGTCAAGAAATCAATATAAACAATGTCTATAACAATATAAATGGAAAGAACAAAGAAAATAGATTGAACAATAACAATAACAACAATAATACAATTATCAAGCTTATCCTTCTCCCTCTTCCACCTCCCCCCTATTAGAAAATTCATTGTCCTCCCTTCTTCACAATGAGGGGAGGGTGGAAAGGGAGAGAAGTTATATGGGTAAAATATTGCATATATGTATTTTCTGATTTGGTTGATAATGTTGATAAGTTTTGTTGAGGTACCTTTTTTTCTTCTCTATTAAAATTTTTTTTAATTTTTGTTATAAGAGATAAGGTAGGTTGGGAAAAAGTAGGGGAGAGGAGGAGAGGATATATTTAGAAATTTAGATATGAAAACAAAAGATACCAATAAGAAAGAAAACAAAAAAAATGGCATCTACGTGTATAAAACAAAGCTTTCTTTGTATATGAAAGTCTAGATTTACAAAAATAAAAACCAAAAAAATTGAGTGTGGTTTAGTGGAAAAAAGCACTAGAAAGATTCAGAATTCTTCTATCATTTATTATGTGAGCTTATCCCTGTCATAATACCACTTAAAGTTTCCATTTCTTCACCCAAATGCAGTTCATGAAATAATGAATGCATGCAAAATGCTATGATTATTGTTATGTTGATGTTGTTACTGAGTAATTCTTCTCTTTACAGAATAATTCTCTATGGGATCCTTTTCTATAGTCAGCTTCCATAATGCACACTATGATGATTTACAAAAGTTTAGTCTACATAAAATTTTTCAAGAGCACTATAGGGACAGGTCATAGGAAGGACTGCTTAGATGTCATCCACTCAAATCTCCTGACTTTGCAGAGAAGGAAACTGAGGCTGGAAGAGATGAAGTGACTTGCCCAAGGTCATAGAAAATGATCTGTCACAGAGCTGGTTTATGAATCCAGGTCCTGTGTCTCCAGCTCCTGTATTCCTCTAAATGGAATTCTCAGTCATAGTATCCATTTTCATGAACATTTTAAGTTGCTCAGAGAATGATTTATTTTAGGTCATGGATCCATTTAAGTGTTTATCCATATACAGAGCACAAATGGGGAAAATATTACAATTTGCATTGAACAGTGTAATTTCAATATTTCATTTGGTTGAACACTAGTGTGAGTTGACTTGCAATGGAATTCTTTTGGAGGAAATATTTATGCTTTAGTTTTGAGATAAAGAATAGTGCTTTTGAAAATGTTGAGCCATTTAAAAATGTTGATGGGTTGGTTAAGTGCACGTACATCTAGATAAATTTAAATGAGTTCATTCTGCTCTGCATCCATAGGTGTTGTCACCCATTGAGCAAATGGGCATTGCCTATTATGTCTCTTTATCCAATGGAAAAAAATAGAATTGGTCCCTTGGAGACTTTTAACATAGGTTCCTCGACAGGAGTTAGTTTATCTTCCGTAATATTTGTTGCTGGCATATTTTCAGTTCTCATTATCTACCATATTCAGTACCCCATCCTGTCATTATCTCTGTGCCTTTGCAAAGATTGTCCTTCATGTCTCGAATGTTATCTTTCCTTCCTCACCTCTGCCTCTTAGAATCCTTAGCTTCCTTCAAAACTCAGCTCTACAACCACTTCCTATGTGTGGCTTTTCCTGATCTCAACAGCTGCTAGTTCCAACTTCTCCCATGATATACACACACACACACACATACACACACACACACGTGTATACACACACACACATACATATATACATGTCGCTGTTCAGTTGTTTTCAATTATGTCCAACTCTTCATGACCCCATTTGGAGTATTCTTGACAAATATGCTGTGGTAGTTGACCATTTCCTTCTCCAACTCATTTGAATTCCAGGCCCAACACTCTATCCACTGTGTCACATAGCTGCCCAGATACACACACACACACACACACACACACACACACACAGTGTGTGTGTGTGTATAGATATATGTATAAACTTATATGTATATGTGTTGTCTTCTCTCCGAGAATGTAAGCTCTTTTAGGAAAGGGGTATCTCATCTTTGTCTTTGTATTCTAAGTGTGTGGCACCTAGTTCAAGAATGCTTATTAATTGATTGATTCATTGCAGTTATGAAGAATAAAAAAACAGTGTGGACAGGAATCCACTGGGGAAAGTTTTGAAGATTCATCCTGATAATGAAGGTACCTACTGGTAAACCAAGATGAAGAAATGAACTCGGATAATCAGACCTAGTATGGAACAAACAATTGATATGAGCAATTCAGCCCACTGCATCACAAAACTGAATATGACCATAAATATAATCTGTTTTTTTTCCTTTGTCCTAGTCATTATGTGCCTTTTTTCCTTGTGTTATATTGCCTCCCACTTAGCAATTTCCTCAATGGCCCCACTATCAACATATATTTATCATTCAATCAATCAGCACTTATTAAGTACCTGCTGTGGTCTAGCTAGCATTATGCTGAACCTTGGGGATAGAAATACAAAGAATGAGGCAATGTTTCCTCTCAAGGAATTTAGGTTCTGACAGGAAAGATGACAAGTATATACAAAGTATATGTAGAATAAATGTATAGAGATTCTATACAAATATATGCAAGATAGTTCAATACAAAGTAATTTGGGAACAAGACCACTTGTAGTTGGGGACAATCAGGAAAGGTTTCCTGTAGAAGGTAGAGTTTGAGCTGTGTTTTGAAAGGAGAGGAATGTGTTATAATTGCTTGGAAATGTTATGTGGTTTCCCCCTAAGGAGACCTTTGAAATACATAGTCATTCACTGAATTCCTCTTAGGTGCATTGAACAAACAGAAATGCTTTTTCTCTTAGCTATTGAAGGTCAACACATACATGATAAATATAAAATGGATAAAAAAGTGAGTACCGTGGAAAGTTATTAGTTCTTGATTCCCAGGATGAGTAGGATTGACCTAAAGAGAGAGAAGAAGAAAGCACTTCATATTCAAGACAGATCTTTACTTAGCGTAGGGTTAGTGTAAATCTATGGAAGTAGATTAAGTTCAGCAAACATTTAAAACTTCATTCACATCAAACTAAATGCCATTCACATGCACAGCCAACCTCATAGTTTGGGTTATTGTGCTAGGTGAATCCTCAGGGATTCACCCAGAAACGTGCAGTCTCTGTCACATGCAATGCTCTCAGTAAAAGGACATATCATGCAAACTGGCTCTCTGTGTCATCCAGGTTTATTGTTCAAGGGATTGAGCAAAGGGGAACATGGAAGCTTTTAGATAACAGATTTTTTTTTTTAAATCAGATCTGGTCATGGTGCTTTTCTTTTTAAAATGGATTGGCTGTAACCAAGAGTTCTGCCAGTCCTCAAGAATTTTTCATCAAATTATTTAGTACTGTCTTTTTCATCTTGACACAGAGAAAGAGACATTTGGAGATAGCCATAACATAGCTTCTTGATTGAGCCCATGGTTTTCTGTCCAGATAGCTTTCCATTCCTTTGTTTTCAGAGTAACCTATTTACTGTGGATTGGTTCTGGCCCAATGAAAAGCAACCAGTCTGAGGAGTGGGAATATATCCAGAAATGACAGTGATATGAGGCAAACCTCTTTTTTTCCTTTCTGAATTATATTTTAAACCTCCATAAAATTCACGTTGTCAAACATCTTATATCATTCCTAGACTGCAGTGAGTTTCTAAGATGAGACTTTTCTGAGTCAATCAGAATTTCCACATAATAATGCTAACTTTTCCTTCAAGAAACATTTTACCTTTGCCTTTTTATTAATAGGCATTTTAATGGCATTTGCTTCTCCTGTATGACTCCTGATGGGAAAAGTAGTATATGATACCTGCACAATCACAAAATGCATATCTAAGTAGTTATATTGGATATTATATCAAAGTATATTGAGTATCACATATCTTTGCACTTACCCTCTTCCATAAGAGCCCTACTGGCTATATTCAACTCCCTGTGAAGTTTGGACTGCATGGTTAAACTCACAGTTGCCCTCAACATCCTAGATGCTCATACCCACTTTGATCATCTTTGTCAGTCAAAAACCAAAATCAAGCCAAATCCTGTTTGATTCCTCTGTGTAGAAGAAAGCAACAGAAGCAAGAAGGGGAACAGCTACTCTGACTTCATTTCATACCAACTAGGAGGATCTGGTTGATGAAGTAGAAGCAATGGGAACCACGGGGAAAAGTTACCATGTTACTCCAGAATTTGTGGTAGTTAAAAAAGAACCATTGCTTATAGGTATATGTATACCCTGGATGTAAGTTTTTTTTTAACTTCAGGAAAATAATACAGATGATTATATGGCCTGAGAGTCTAAAAGCAAAGCTGACATAAGGGATATAAGAGGCTCTCAGGAAAAAAATGATGGTAGAAACAGAAACGGCACAATAAGAAAGAAAAGGAAGAGGTATCTCATGAATATAAGGATTGAACATCTCATCTAATGAATTTAGATGATAAAAAAGCATATACAAAAAAATGGAAGGAGAGGCACTTAATCAAAGATATATATTAAAAAGTGGTATAGAATCACAGAATTGTAGAAGCCCAGAAGTAGAAGAGACCTGAAAGGTCATCTTATCCACTGTTATACCCAACGCATTGATGCCTCTACAACGCTGCCTATGTAGCACTCCTTCAAAGACTGCTTCCAGCTTATATTCACAGGTGACTAACCCCAGGTTCAAGTTACTCTGTGAGCCTGCATTTCTAAAAATAAAATTCATGAGCCCCCACCAGTATACTTACTCTTGATAGACAGTCAATAGACATAAACATTTTAAAGCAGAGGTGTATACTAAGATGACATCCTAATAATATTAACAAAACACTTTCCTCATTAGCCTGAGATGTACCATTCTGCCATTACACACAGCATATGTGGAGAATATTGGGCATACACAAAAAGTATACTGTCACTCTAGTACTAGTACATTAGTCGAGAGGCACACATGTAGGAAACATATGTGATCCAGGCAACTCAGAACTCTAACACTAAAGTACGTCAATGTCCTTTCCCTTCTCATGGCATCTTTATACTTCTACCTCTAGGTATAGCCTCTCTGCTGGATAGGTCACTCAGCTTGGCTCGATGAGTCTGTTATTCTGTGTAACTCAACTCTTGAAGGCCAAGACTAATTCTTTTCTCAACTCACAGAGTTCATACTCCTCATATCTGTGGCTGTGCTGTGCCTGCTTCTTGCTAGGTATAGGTTTTTCCTACTGTGCAAATAGCTTCATTGCAAGGCATGCAGTTCCAGATTTTCTTCAGAGAGAAGCCTCTGAAGGGATAGAAAGACTCTGGGAAGAAGCCATGCAGAGGAGTTGGTATCTTGGTCATGTCTTTGTCTCTAGCTTATCACAGTAGAGACTTCAGGGAATTTCCTCTTGGGCAAGATATTGAGCTTTCTTTCTTAGTTGAGCTAAAATATCTCTCTTTCAGGGAGAGATAATTTAGTCTGTGTATTGTTAAGTATGTTCTCATGGGTTTATTTACTGTTCTCTATGTACGATCTTTGTCTAACTGGCATTTGATGGGAAGGGAGTCAATCCATGGATATGTAGCTTGGGGCACTCCTTCCCTGTGAAGGGATAATGATGAAGAGCACTGCTTGAACCTAAAATTATTTTACCTAGACTAATAATATTTAGAAAGTGAATAGATACATTCACTCAGTGAATATATCTCAGTACTCCTTTTCAGAGGAGAGCAGATTGGTTAGCCTTATAGCCTTCCTGAAAGGAATTAAAGCCTCCCTTGGAAAAGTGAATGGAAGAGACTTTTGAAACATCTGTTTACATCTCCCTGCACGTTCCATCTAAATAGACTTACGTGGGCATATATAACCTATGGAGACAACAAACATACACAGATACATTTTACATCAGAAAGAAATTTAGATCCATTTTTAAATTGTATGTGGACAGCTGCCCTTTTCCTTTCCTTTCTTCTCTGTATAACACTTCCACTCTGCAACATCCCAATAAGGGTTGGTCATATTTTCCCTTCTTGGTCTTAGATCTTGTAGGGTTTTTGTTTTGTTTTGTTTTTCTTTTCATTAAAACTTTGGTTTTTTTTTTTCCTTTAGGAATACTTCTCATTGGTCCCTAACTACCTGGATTATGGAAAGGCATTCTTCAAGTCTCTTTACCGTGTCCTCAAGAATCTACACTTGGAGCACAGAGTCACTTGGCTGTGATAGAAAGGCAAATATCAAGGGCAGCTAGGTGGTACAGCCATGGTCCTGGAGTCAGGAGGACTTGAGTTCAAATCCAGATTCAGACACTTATTAGCTGTGTGACCCTGAGCAAGTCACTTAACCCCTTTGCCTCAAAAAAAAAAAGAAAAGAAATACAAATATTTAATTGATGCAAATAATTGTATCAATTTCCCCAGTGCACCAAATTCACTTATTGAATTGAAATCTGTCCGCTTTTAACTTCTAACTTTTGGGTTCAATGCTCTCTAGAGCTACCAAAAAAATAATAAAATCCCCCTTTGATATAACTTTGGTTCATCTCACTCCCCACCTTAATAGCAAGGTCTCTAGTATTCTCTTTTGTTGGGTCATGGTGAATAAATTCCATCTGCCTTTTCTCTGCTCCAGAATTCAGATCATGTGTCCCCATATACAGTCCACAACTCTTACTGAGTCTTCTTAGGGCTGGAGATAAACGTATGAACTGTGTTTCATTTTTCTTTTCAACTCCCAAGATGCCCCCAGGCAGCTAGCATCTAGTTCAGGCTAATTGCATTAAACCTTGAAACTTGGGCTTCTCTCAGGCACTTAAAAACACTGTAGGAGGAGGGTTGGAGTAGGTGATTATTGTCCTGCATTCCTGCCATCAGGACAAAAATTTCCTGGCCTCATTTTATATAATTTGAAGCATTTGCCTTTCCCCTTTTGAAAATCAGGACAAATCTTTGACCATCTGCAATCTTCTGCTACCTCTCTCATTCTCAAGGTTTTCTCATTAAATCACCAACAGTTCAGTAATCACATCTTCATATTTCTTCAGTATGTAATTCATCTAGGTCAAGTGACTGGAATTTATTTAGAGCAAACAGGTATTCTCTTACTATATTTTCACTAATCTTATGTTTCAATTTCTTTGTAACCATCCTTCATTTGATTTTTTTAATTATAAAGAGCATTCCTCCAGATAGGAAAAGGTAAAAGCAAAATAGATGTGTTTCTGCTTTCTCTCATTTATTAATATCATCCACCTGACCTCAAGCAGTGAACCTATCAACAACTTCATTAGATTTAGCTCTGAATGTCTTTCGAACATTTAAAAACTCAAATATACCCTCAAATAATTGAAGTATATCAACCAATCAATAACTACATCAGTAAGAATTTATTAAGCAATCAAAGAGATATGACAGATTTTCCAAAATTTCTGAGAAAATTCTGACTAATACCAGTATCACTTGGCAGTTAGGTGGGGCAGCAAATAGAGCACTGGGCCTGCAGCCAGGAAGACCTGAGTTCAAATTCTGTTTTAGACACTTACTAACTATGTGACCCTAGGCAAGTCACCTAATCTCTATTTGCCTCAGCTGCCTCAACTGTAAGATGGGGATAATAACAGCACTTATCTTGCAGGGTTGTTGCAAGGGTCAGAGGACATGATATTTGTAAAGCACTCAGCATAGTGTCTGGCACACACTAAGCACTATATAAATGCTTCTTCCTTTTCTTCCCACCTCACCTCCACTGGAGGGAGTGTGTGAGAATCTTTGTTTTGTTTTTGTTTTTTATGCAATTGGGGTTAAGTCAAGTGTTTGGTCTGTGGTCGAGTTTGAACTCGGGTCCTCCTGACTTCAGATCTGGTGCTCTATCCACTGAGCCACCTAGCTGTCCCAAGTGTGTAAGAATCTTCAGGGGTGAATAAGTTAAAGTAATAGAACTCATTCG